TTTTTATACATGTCTTTTGGCACTATTATCATTCCATAAAAATCTTCTTTTAGTACTTTTACAAGTGTTTTTCTGTGTTCAGAAAAGTGAAATAAAAAATTCAACCAAAAATAATTTTCAATCAGGATAATTTCAACAACCCTGCAGTTGATTGGTCTGATCGCAGCACGTTTGACGTGTTCGGGTTCTGGTCTGGGTTCAGTTCTTACTGAGTCTGTCGGGCAGGACCTCCAGTCCCTGGACCCGCTCGTCTTTATGGAGCTCCAGACCATAAACGCAGTCGAATCCATCGTACTTTATCAGGTAGAGCGACGGGTTCACGGGAACCTGGAGGAAACAGATCCCATTAGTCTCTCAGTGACCAGAACTCTAACTTTCAGCTCCGTATCTGTAGAGGATTACCTGGTCCAGAACAGTCCCTTTCCAGACCACGTGTCCCCCTCCCTCCTTCCAGATGTGTTGGATCCGGCAGCCCACGATGTTGCGTCTCGGCGGGGACAGGACCTTGGTGGTGGGACCCAGACTGCTCTTATGTCTTCTTCAGAGGAACAGGAAACACGTCAGCCCACCGAGTTTTTCCAGACGGGAAACAGAAAACTGAAGGCAGGAAGCAGCTACTCACTTGTGCGGATTCTTTTTCTTCATCATATTTGCAGAAACACCTGCATGTCCTGAAAACACAAAGAACCGTGAACATCGTGACGACGCAGGCGTCTCCAGAACTCTGGAGTTCTTCTGACACAAAACATCCGGTTCCACAGACCCAAACGTTCAGGTCTGAATAAACAGGTTTTACAAAATTAGGATGTGATTTTAAAGAAGTGAACGCCCAAAACTAGGGGTGTAAGAAAATATCGATACACTGAAATATCGCGATATTTCATTTCCCGATACTGTATCGATATTCTAAAGCCCTGTATTGATTTTTTTATTAAGGTTTAAAATGTCAACTTTCCTGCCAACCGTCCATTTTTATGTTGTAGTTCAGCCTCTGACCACTAGTTGGCAGCAGTGAGCCAGACATTTGGCTCCTCTACCTCTTGAGTGTCAGAGAGTAAGAG